TTCAACATCTATCTATGTATCTATCTGTCTATCTATTATTTATCTATCTATCTATCTATCTATCTATCTATCTATCTATCTATCTATCTATCTGTCTTCTGCTCTACAGCTCTTTTGTTGAACCCTGGCCGCTTTTTCAGTTTATTAATCCTATGCACATTCGGTAGGTGTCCTTGAACGGGGGATCAGCTCGACGCAAAACCGCTATCTACACATAGGACAACACAAACACTGAACAAATGCACAGAGATATCCATGCCTCGAATTGGATCCGAACCCACTGTCCCATTGTTCGAGAGGGCGAAAACGGTTCATGCCTTCGACCGCGCAGTCACCGTCAGCTGCATTCTCGACTCTGGTCCAGATATATCAATGGAAATATTATAGAATTAGATTATCAACTCACCACGTTTCAGAATAAAATTTGAAAATACAGACCAGTATGTCGTTACAGAATATTGGGATGTGTGGAAAGGAATGATGGATGTGTCTTCTGATTCCAATAACATAAAAATTAATTGTGTTTTTCCGATGTCCCCATTCAATAACAGCTTCACGCGAATCTAGCTGCAGGACGTAAAATTCAATAATTGTTTACGCTGACGTAGTAGCAATGTATTAGTGTTCATATTAACGTTGTTAGCCTAGTAGTAATATCCCATCAATAGCGGAGTTGGAAATTGATAGCAGCGCTGTATTTAGGCGAACTGACATTGTAGGGAATGCAATAACAGTCGATACTAACTTCAGTCTCTTGTTTCTGCCATTTTGTTTTTGCTGTGTGGGTGCTGGTTGTATCACTGTGTCTCAACGCATGGTACACGGACCTATACCGGCCTGCAAATTATTTTTTTTGGTTATATGACAAAGATTGAGAGTGAAGCGTTGGGTGATAAAATTATTAATGAGAAGTGTAGTAGCTGGATTGAAAATTGGCAGGGGAAACCGAAGTACAGGGAGAAAATCATCTTAATTCCACTTTGTCCACCCGAAATCCCATTCATTTTGGCCTGGGATTGAACCCTGGCCGTCCGCAGTGGGAATTTGACGATTAATCACCTGAGTTGTGGTACGGCCGCGACATTTTATTTGGAATCATATTTTTTACAGGAAAGACTAAATTCGCTAACAAGGACTCCATAGTGTAATTCTTTGTAAAGAAAAGTCGAAAATATTACACAACATGTCCTGAGATGACCACTTTCGGAGATACACTTTACCATGAAATGGGGTAACATGCTACTCAGTAGTGTTGTTTTCATCACGAAACAGAGCGCGTTGCTGGGTGTACTCAAGACGCAGTAGGGGTCTGTTGTGAAGGAATGAACGTGGGATAGGCACACAACGGACACTGCGACAGGCACTTAACCCTCTGTACCTGTAACAGCCCAGCTAATACTACTGCGCCTGTATACGCTCTAAGGCTAGGAACACCCGAAGCGACATCGGTCGTACGGAAAAATGTCGTACGATTCTTTTGCCGTACGACCTCTTTTTCACATTAGAGCGACCAGATACATTTCTTTGCTCACCGACTGCCGTACGGTAGATGTCGCATGTCTTCACGTATGAAAGCTAAGACTACACTTTATATTCTACTACTTGATACGACATGAACCGTACGGACGTCGTACGACCACTGTCGCTGTGTGTGTTCCTGGGACGGGAATGCGTTCCGACGATCGGAGCAGCGTCTCCCTGAGACAGGAAGTGTAACGACACACGTGAATGCATGTCGCCCACGGAGTATGCAGACACCAGCCAATGAAGATGCTTTAATTGCAGCCATGGAGAGGCTCATATGGTATCGCAGGAGAATTGGGACTTTTCCATTTCGAGGCTCCTAGATGATCTTCATGATGATTATTGCATACATGTCAACACTCAAAAAGGGCACGTCTCTTCCCGGATGATCTTCCTGTGAATGGTTACAACACACTGTGGATTCGTTCTTTTTCTCTTTAGTATTCTACAGGCAGACGAAGCATGATAGTGTGTTAATAGTCCACAGCAGTTATCCTGGGCACGGGGTAATTCTCATGCTAGTCGCGGACTTTCAGGTGCAGAACACATAAGGGAGCATATTTATGCAATCCCTCCTAGGACAGTCTTAAATCTCGTGGCAATATTTGAGACAAAGATATCAGAATATATGGAACAGGTTGGCGTAGAGGTAATATTTTTCACTCGTATTTGGGATGTGTCGGATTAGTTTCGACCGGGACACCGACCACCATGATTGAGGTTTTCGTGCTTTTCCTCAGTTCCGAAATCACTCCACGGCCGCTCTCTTTAAAATAATTTTTAATTTTTCATTCAACAGTCATTCCATTGCCCGACACTACGATATGACCTAGATACAGAAGGCATAGTAAAATTAACCACCATTACAACGAAAATGTCAGCTATTTAATGTCAATTCACGCCCTTGATGATGACCTCCAGAAAGTCGAAACGTGTAGAAATAACGCAACATAAACTGTAAATATTATACTGGAAAATCTATTTCTTCTAATTAATGCAGTTAAGACTGAATTTCATCTACACTATATTTAATAATACAGTCCTTACCTCAGAGGAAACACATCACATCTCCGCTACGCAGATCAACAGGTTAATGCTGTTTAGGAGAAAGTCTTTGTGTACTACGAGAAATATACGAGACACACAAACACTCACTGTGGGGAGAATACAGATTTTTAGTATTAATTTATCCTCTGGGCTTTAAAGGGCTAATTGCTTTTGACGATAGGTAATGTAAGGTAAAGCTGTCCCTGTAGCAGACAGCAGAGGCTCATAGAGTTGTGAGACGTCGAGGCTCCCACATTTTTGTAATGATCGGAAACTGGGTGGCGGTGAGGTCAGCCTAATGCGCCGGCCACTCTCTCTTCCATGGATGATTCCTAGGACTCATTTCTGAGCCGACCCAAGGGTCAAAGTGCGTCATGAAGGATTGGGTCAATTGAAAAAATCCACCACATCGGGAATCGAGCCCGTGACCTTGCGACTTTTAGCATAGTGCCTCAACCAACTACGCTACCGCGCGAACTCGTTTATAATTGACGATTTTAGGATTATTTTTAGTCTAGCTGTACGTCGACCATTCGAGGGGTCCTTTCATAAAGCGTTTCCAAGTTGTTCCTCACAGCTTCACTGAGGCCAGTAACGCAACTAGCCTAAGAGCAAAAGGAGAAAGTCTGTTTTATGGCAAAAACCTGTTTCCCATTCCCCGAAACAAATCGGAGATGTGGACAAACTGCAGTTCGTTCCCCGTGCTGCAGAATATGACATGCGGACGTCAATAACGCCGGAGCAGTCACGTGCCGAAGAGTACAGCTCCCACGTGGCCGCTACTTTCCGGCAGCATCACTGGAGCACCTCCTTCTGGCACTTGTCTCAGACAGAAGTCGTCGCCCATGATACCGTTGGTTCCTTTTCCCTCCCCGTGGGGCCACCGCCTGGTCGTAAACTCCTCTTGACACTCGACTCTTCCTCGTCTGCAGAAGTGTGCATGGCCTACCGGCAATGATGTCCTGGGAGCAATAAAACTTCTTGCGCAAATATATTTCTTTTTCTCCAATTTCTTTTCTGGATTTCTTATCACCAAGCTACTGCTTCTCCTGTCCCTTCTACGTTTTTATTTTGGGTCGCATTGTTTTATTTCATTTCACTTTCTCCTGATCATGTGACCTAGACCTAAATTTCTTTTAAGTTCTTTTATGAATATTAGATCAAAAGCAATTGCAGGATTTGAGGTTTTCACAGCTGTGGCTATGAGGTGTTCTATTTTCTGAGATATAATTCTATTAACTCCGTTGAAAGTCAGTTCACTTTTCGTAGGTCTACATCTCTTCCATCTTCAGGATTGAAGATTAAACCAAGCAAGAAACCACTATGGAGCAGATAACAAGCAAGCCTCTTGAATATTGAAATGGATGCGAAAGAAATTCTTTGTATGTACGTGTGTAGGTTATTGTAATTCCTGTGGCCGCGTTCCATATCCCTATTTAACACATAAGAAAACAAGTTCGTTTACCGCGTATTTACTTAACGCGCCGTTCTGGAGGAATCTAATTTCCGTTCAACGAGTTTTTACTGTATTTATTCGGAACGTTTTTGTGTCTCTGCTATTAGAGAGTCATATTTTAGGTTGTAATAAGATTCAGAGTAAGAATAATCAGTATTTAAACACAGATAAATATAATAAACATGGGGCAAGCGGTAGCGTAGTTGGTTGAGGGACTACGCTACAAGCCGGAAGATCGCGGAATCGAGTCCCAATGAGGTCATTGGAATTTTTTCAATTTACGTAATACTTCCAGCCGCACTATGGCCCTAGAGTCGACTCAGCCTTTAACAAAAATGAATACCAGGAATCTTCCTGGAATGTTCTTGGGGGTAAAGGGCGGCAGGCGCGTAAGGCTGACAACCTTACCGCCATCTATGAGCCGATTGTCTAGAAAATGTGGGAACCTCAACATCTCACAATCCTATGGGTCTCCACGGCCTGTTACAGCGATAGCTTTACCTTTTTACTTTTCTTTCCTAAATATAATAAAGAATATCCACAGAATTTAAGTTTCTTCAGCAAACAAGCGAATTCCATTTTCAAGCAACTAACACAATTTACAGATATTTTCACGCCTATCTCGCTGAATATCAAATTGTATGGAGATTACCTCGAGCCGCAGAGAGTCTGGTCCTTGTTCTGCGCTATCGGACCGTACTCTTCTGTGTTTTTATATACGTGTACTTCCCAACTGCATTGTTTCCTTTCGCCTTTATGAAACGCTGGACAAATAAACGTACGAAATACAGTGGGGATATTCCAGGGTATATCTTTTTATAGTTACGTTTTATAATTTTGGGAAATAAAACTCATTTTCTTGCATATTGTTATGATATTAAAGTCGATTTCATTTAAATTTGTATTTAATTTTGTCATTACCGTGTTTCAGTTGTATTCATTCCTGTCTTGAACTTTCACTTCCATGACATAGCACTTCACAAGCCTCCCAGGTATGGAGCGTTATACAGTGCAGAATGGACTTGAAGAGTGACGGAGGAAGAAAATCACTTAGCAGCTTCAGAACTTTAACTTCACATCTGTTACTGTGATTTACCTTACATCAGTAAGGCTGGAATGGAGAGGGCAGAGAGTGTGCATGGAACAAGTGAGAAATCCTTAATTTTTTATTTATCCTGCGTTACGAGGGAGAGTCAGTTAATAGGTCACAAATTGAAGTAAAACAACTCTAATGGATTTAATAGTTTATATATGAATCACTAGGTAGCAGACGCTCATGCGCATGTTTAGAGGCTGGTTTTAGTAGTCAAAATGGCGACCGTGCTTGGCGATTCTACTACCGAAGAATAGCGTTTTGTTTCAAGTTTCTTTCGACAAAAGGACTCAATGCAAAGGATTTTCATAGAGAAATATTTCCTGTTTACGGTGGGAAGTGTTTTTCGCATAAAGTGGTTCACAACTGGGTCAAATTCTCCCAAAGATGTTTAAATGTCGCAAACAATGCCCGACCAAGTGCGAAAACGGCTGAGACATCAAGCAGAAGACCTCTATGCTGCGGATTTCGAAGCATGGGTAAAGTGATAGGCCAAGCGTGTTGCCATTTGTAGGGAGGTAGGCGTGACGAAATGACGGGTTCTAGTTCGGATGATTGGGTTTATTACCAGCTTTGTTACGCACTCTTTTAATTACACTCATATTAGAGCGCCATCGTATTGCTGATTCCCCATGTGTTTTACATGTCCACCCAACCTCATTCTCCTTGCTTTGATCATCCCAGTACCGTCTTACGAACAAGATTCATTGTAAAGCTCTGCATTAAGCAATGTTCCCATCCTGTGTTATTTTCCTGTTTTCAAACAGCGTTCCCTTCTCCGTAAGTTACAGGCTGGTTCTAGTGCCCACCCAGCCTCCTTCTCAATGGGAGTTCGGGACTCCATCTCCGGGGAAGCAGCGGTGGCCTGAAGACAACCACGCACATCCATCTAGTGCTGATGACAAGAATTCTTCAGCTGTGCCTTTCTCCTTCACAAGCTCACATGGCATAGTACGTAATTATATGACTGAATGCAGGAATAATGTTATTTATAGCTTAGCAAAGGCCTGTAAATTTGAAAGGTAAAATTGTCTCTGTGCTTAATTAATTAAGATTCACTTCATGTGTTCGTATGGGGGAGATGAAGACTGTCGGAAATCGAACCCCGGCTGTTCAGCCTCTAGCTTATCGCTATACTGACTGAACTATCCCGGCTCAAGTGGCACTTATAAATGTAAAATCATGTTTCCGTTTCTATGTTGTTTTATTTGTGTGGAGATATCAAATTTTACTTTCCTTCTTGTGTTTTGATTCGGGTCTACCCATACCTGATTGCTTGAACTAGAGGGCCCAGTTCATGTCCTCTCTAGTATTCGTATTATTTTTTATTGCTAGTGTGGTGGGACTAAGTCCCTTGTACTGCGGCCACTTCTGGCCTATTGTACCAGCCCCAGATGATACGTGAGGGTGATTGTGGAGCAATTGGTGGAACGAAGATTGGCAAGGGAAACCGAAGCACTCGGAGAAAACCTGTCCCAGCGCCACTTTGTCCACCACAAATCCTACTTGACCAGACTCGGGATCGAACCCGGGCCGCCGCGGTGGGAAGACAGCGACTAACCTCTTGAGTTATGGGGCGGCCCTATATTCGTATTAAGTTAACGATCAAGATTGTTTACTTTCCCTTGCAGTTCCTTCTGAGGGATATGTTGGTACTGCAAGATCACTTGAATCTATAGTTGACCGTTTTCAAAAGACTGGAGTTTGCTTCAAGGTACCGAACTCAATTTTTTGTGATTTCCTAAACCCTAGAAGTTTTCTTCTTAAAGATTCGTTTGTTGATATAAAGCGAAAGCTACTGGAGCCTCGCATCGACATGAACTATTGCTTCTTTACCCCCACAAGGATGAAGCAGCCCAGTTGGGCGGGACCGCACAGCAGGAAACCATTGACTGGTGTATGGTGTATTCGAGTATGTAGACCTCAGGAAATAATCTTATATAGTTATTCCGTTAACAGTCAAGTTCCTTCCGTCAAATGTGACACTTTTTTAAGTTTTCCACCTCGTCAGCACCTGCCTTACATGTTTCGGCTCACCACGGAGCCATCATCAGAGGCATTTATAGTAGAAAAAGAAATCACCAACACACAAAACTTCACTTTGTCCAAGATAGCCACGTTCCAGTTAATTAAAATAATTACAAA